TGCTTAAAACTGGAGGGAAAATCTTTTTCTCTAGGAAAACAAGAAAAATCTGTCAACTACGAATCAGGCAGACCAATGTGCTGCTAAAATCCTGAATTTACAGAGGGGAAAAACCTTTTTTATTAGTTGTCTTCATTTTCATGGTTGGGAAGAAAACAAATGAAAATTCCAAAGTAAAAAGGTAAATTGTCCCAAGTCAGCATCTAAAAATGTAATTGACATCTTTTTTAGCAAAAGCATCTAGCTACTATTTTTATTGTCTTAGATGTGGTACAGATTGTACATGGTGCAGATTATACACTGGGGAACAGTTATCAAGGATGTGTCATAAAACATGGAAAAATTCAAATCAAAAAGTAAAAATTTGAGTGAAAATGAAAACTTACACAATCTTAACCTCTCTCTAACCAGTCACTGCAAGACATTCGTCACAGTAAGTGTTCTACTAGAGAACAGTGTAAACCACAAGCAACTGGGGACCTGATTTTCAGACAAGAATTCCAGACTGCAGCATGCATATAAATGCTAGAAATGGAACACTGTTAAATGATCAATGCATCAAAAATACTCCATTTGGAAAAGCTTTAATAACTGAATTGACATGTTGTGCTGGGTAGGGAAGGTAATTTATTGTAGCATTTGGACAGATAGGATTTGCACTCACAACAGATGGCAACACATTTTAAAATTAAAAAGTATGTGAGACATTTGATTTCCCTTTGGTTTTGCCATCCTCCCTCAACGCTTAGAAATTTCCTTGGGATCCTTATCACTCCTCATTGCATTGTACTGCTCTGACTTTCATTCCAAAAGACAAATAATCATCTGTCTCTCTTTTGGAAAAAAATGGAACAGGAAAACTCTACATTATGAATTCAGTATTTTTTTTTCAGAAACTGAAGAAATCCAATAGAAAGTCTATGTCAGCATGAAGATGCCTGCTAGCAAAAGCATGCTTCTCAGGTGTTTAAAGAGGTGCAAAGTTAATACAACTAATAATATTATATTAATATCATGTTAGTCTTAATATTATCTACTATTAATTGTAATTCACATAATTTGGATGCCAGAATCGTGGCTACTTTGGTACAGCGTGTTTCACTTTCATCAATGCACCGGCTTTGTTGATCTAACTGCATCCACCAGAGGAGCATTTTGTGTGCTCCTATCTCCACACTGGTTGCACACTCTTAGCGTAGATGTACCTAACTGGGGCCAACATTTCATTTATATCAAGACACCTACAAATAAACATAGCCTGAGTTCAAGAGGTTTGACTCCTGAGGTAAACAATGGTTGAAAGGCCCCAGCACTTTTAAGAATGACCCCTTTAAATTGTGCACCAAAAAAGTTTCTAATAAAAAAGGAGAAAACAAGACACTGCAAGACTTGATTTTGGATAGGAAGAGATAACCTTGAATTGAAAATAAACACTTGTTCTCTTTGTATCTCAAGAAAGGGGCATTCACGGTCTTACTGTGGAAGAGGTTGACACCTAGTCACCTTCATGGTGAATTTCAGATGGCATTAAGCCACGGAGCATAAATGGAAATTACAATAAACTGCTTTCATTTTCTGGGCATAGATAAGCACTGAGACAGTCACCTGTGTGAAGAGGCAACTATTTACTTACTTATTTTAATACAGCTAAACATTTAGAGCCTTAACTTGTCCCCATCCTATCTTGTAAGGGAGAGAATTGACTACACTGCCCCTGGACCAAGTATCCTCTCCAGCCTGCTCCTCCAGCATCAGGCAACTCCAAGCAGTCTCCCTGGCTGTACTTTTTCCTGTTAAACACCATTATCAGTCAGTATAACTCACCAAATGCCACAACTCACTATTTCATTCCATCTGCAGATGTACTTGGTAATCATTTTATATTTCCTTCCAGGTAACCAATAAAGCTGATGCACAGCTTTATGCCAAGAAGAGATTCCTGTGAGTTCCCACTAGAAGTAACCCTTGAGATGAATACTCCCCTTGAAAAGTATAATCACTTTTCAAGATGTTTCTGTTATCCCATTTTTAATTCATTTGGTAACTCTGGATTACACTGATTTTACTCACTGTTATTTCATTATGGTTTTAACCACCGTGTCAACAAGACCAAATAAATGTCATAAAGTAGTCCAAGTGCATTAATGTCAGCACAGCTATCTCTGTCAACTTCATTTCTGATCTTGGAAAAAAGCAGTATCTAGTATGTTTGATAAGATCTATTATCCATAAAAACTTGCTGGCTGGCATTTGGCATGATGTCATCTCTTCAGATTTGTTGGAGATATTTAGTCTCAGCATTCCAATGATTGTCCTTGACCTATAGTTACCTGGATCGTCTTATTTAACCTTTAAAAATTCTGGCACAACATTTGCTTTTTCCAGTTCACTGAAACTCTCCTCAGTATGCCAAGATTTGTTAAAAAGCAACAATAATGGTTTAGACAGTTCAACTCTATTAATACTCTCCTGTGCAAGGTTTCTGATCTGACAGAAAATTAAGGAGGAAATATATAGTTACTGAATTTCACTTCTAACTTCAAGTTTACAAGAGCTGAACTCCTACTAGAATCACCTGCCAGCACTTTCACAATGAATTGTAGAGCCACCTTCAGTATCTTTGCTACAATGCTTCAAAGAATCGCAAGTGTTTCTGTACCTCACAGATGCAAAATACATGAAATATTATAGGGACATTTTGCCTTTTTTTTTTTTCCCCTCCTTTGTTATTTCTCTCTTTCTCCCATCATTTGCCTACATTTTATGGGAAAGCCTGGAAGTTATACATGATAAGATTAAAGGACAGATACCTGTAAAAAAAGAGGTGAACTTTTGTACAGTCTCTTAAGCAACATTCATGGTTGTGTCTGATGAAATTTTGAGAAGCTTTGGGTTCAGCTAATGTTAACAAATAATCAGTGTAATACCCTGCTTTTGGCAAACTTCTTAAACTGTAGGGGTTTGAACTCAGACTGTATTCAAACACTAGCCCTTTAAATCTAGCCAGAATTATTTCTGAAGCTGTGGATTAAATAGCTTTCATTTGCTGTTGCATCTTATGGCATTTATAGTAGCCGGTGGAAAGCCAAAATGCTGAATCACAGTTTCCTTACTTCGTCTGAAAGCACAGATATAAAAACTTTTTGGAAAAAAACAATGACAGTAGTAAAAAAGGTTCAAACCTAATGTAAGAAGCTTTTTAAACATATTAGTGGATTCATCACTGGTTACAGTTCTAGTCTGCTGAACGGAATTCCTAACAAACTGCCAGCTATATCTACTACATCCATATCTAGCATCCAGATTTCAATATGCTCAGTTTGAAGTATATTGGAATATTTCTTCAAATATTTAACCTCAATTTCCACTCTCTTAATGTGTATAATATACAACAAACATGTAAATTTGCATGTTAAGTTCCCTGTAAAATGGCAAAAGTGATTGCTTGCTTGTGGGAGATGTTACCTAGAGTGACTTTTTCCTCATATTTGGCTGATCCCACCATTCTTGATTGACTTGTAAAGCCTCCTGAATCACCACACAACACTAACTCACCTCCTGATGTATCAAGAGGAATAAAAAAGGTTGGGTTTTTTCCACATCAGGAAAAGCTACTGTATTAATATACTGTTATGCAAAATTTCTTACAACCCAAACATAACAGTGTAAAGTAACTCCAGGATTCATTATCTTTGATTACATCCATTGGTGCACTGCTATAATCACTAAGAGCTCTCTCCAGTGCAGTACACAATGGCTTGTTTTTAAAAGTAAACTTTGTCTGGATGAAATTTTAGTTCTGTTACTTCCTCTTTTTCTTTCATCTGTTTGCACACCAGACCTAGAAGACTTTTTGTAAACTCCACTATTAGAGACAACAGCTAACACAGGCCAACAATGGACACTCATAGAACTGTTTTAAAAAACCAAACCCTAAAAAATTATGATAAACCTTCTTAATTTCAGCAGAGATTCTTTGCACAGGGATTCAGTTTCCTGGGATTAAAACAGTTGTGCAAGTGGAAGAAACAACTTGAAATAATGCATCTAGTGAATACCAGCCACAGTGACCAAGGGAAGCAGGCTGAATCAGTGCCTTCTACCTGCTGGGATTCTGGTTCTCTGTACAAGACATCTCTTGGGTCATGAGGGCTTATTCTAAACTGGCTTCAAGTCTTCTGACAGGATGACATCTATTTTCCACAGATTTGTTTGTTTCAGCATGTGAAACATGAAATATTTTTAGTCAATTCTACTTTTACCAACACAAAACAGAGGGTCAGTACCAAGTAAAATGCTGGTGATGCTGGTTACAAATCCTTTGCCAGTGTTTCTCAGCTCCCCTATCATCTCTACAGTAACAGAATGTTTTCCATTAGCTAAGAGACTACTTCTTGCAGTCAAAGAGTGGAAAGAAGACCACATATATAAAATAAACTCAAAATGTACATTTCAATTTATTTTTTTAAAAGATTTTGAAGCCCTGTGGTATTTTCCAATATGAAAACAGCTAGAGGTGGAAGTGGTATGGAGACAGAGCCATGATGACACTTGTGCAGCTCAGTTTACACACACAATTATCCTAAGAATGGTCTAAAACATCAGAAACTTGCACCCAAATTTCTCTTCAGCGCCAACATAAACCCACTGTAAACAATTTCAAGTATCTAAGAAAAAAAAGATACAAGATACATGTGCTTTTTGCCTGTGCTGACAAAAATTACTTTGGCTGACATGATATCACTACCAAAGCATTTGTTAACATAATGTTATTTATTTCTTGTTTTGCTAAACTGCAATGTTTATTTTGTACCTGTGCATGTTTGCACTTTTATTATGTTCTAGACCATAATTTCAAAGAAACAGGGGTTTGTGCAAGAAATATTTAGTCTATCAGTCTGAAACACTCGCGGCAACATCCCTACAGCAATATCATGCAAAAAGGCAATTTCCTAATTTCATTTATGACCAGAAGTTATGAAGAAAGAAAAAGAATTTACCCGATTCCTGGAGATAGCGATACACCAAGAAATTCACTTCGTCACTGGTTATGCTCATCTTAGCCCAACCTCAATATGATGAGGTTTATGAGAAGTGTGATCCACGCTCTGTTCAAAGGGAGAGAAAAGAACAGGTTTTGTTTTATCTTAATTTACTGTGAAATGTGTTATCAAAACAGGGGTGGGAATTGTTAAGGTATTTAAAGATGTCATAAAGTTATTAGAGATGTAACGTCCCAACGTGAGGCATCCATTAAATATTGTGAATCAAGTACTCAGGCTGTACTGCACCTTGTAGTACAATTCAGGAGAAGTATTTAACATTCATGCGAGAGTTAGAGGGAGCATTTTAAATATTGGAAGGCTTTTCTAATGTCAGCTCCTTTACTTGTGTGGCTTTACTACAGGGTCTTCGGAGACTCCTCTTTACTGTGCGAGCATTTTCAGAATTGCTGGCAATTACAGTCATGTATAACACACCAAATTATAGTATTTTGGCAGCTCTGAATTTGTAAACCAGTTTTTTGTCCAGTTGTTCATCCACTGAAGACAGATTCTTTCCTTACAAAACCGTGTTATGCAATGAATGGGGCCGGAGGGGAAGAGAAAGAGAGAGAACACCATATACTCTGAGCCAACAAGGAAGACAAATATCCTTGCATTATATAAAGCTGTAATATTGTAATGTCTCTGTTCATTTATGTTGAGCAAGAATTAAACTCCAATTTTTCATTTAAGCAATTGCAACCTTTAGGATGACGGTTTTACATTACTATTTTGGGCATATACTCTGCTAATAAAAACACTGGGTTTAGATGATAAATTTGTTTTGAATGCTTTCCATTAAATCTTGATGATTCATTCCTGTTTGGGAATCTGACTTAAGCAGTTTGGTTTTAAAAGACCTAAGTACTCCTCAGACATAAACTTTGCAGCTGTGTCAGCCACACCATACCTGTGAGTGATCACATACAGCTTTGGCCGCAGAGGCGCACGCGGGGCTCTCTCCGCGCGCTACAAATGAAACACCGTAGGCGTGTGCCGGGTGTTTTGATTTCCCCTATGTCTCTTCTTGGCAAGTGGAAAGGTCGTCTTTGTTCATTGAAAACCTCTTCAGTAATTCCTGCTGCCTAGAGTAGCACCTGCTACTGCAGGCGATGGGGATCGACGACGCTTCCCCTGCTGATGGTTTAAACCAGCAGGTCACTCATGACTGTAACAGATGTCTTTGCATATTTATGTAAATGGAGGTCTTTCGAACCCTAGTAAGCCTCTTATTATCCCGGGCTGTATTTCATCAATAGCTTGGATGCTGATCTTTCTTATGAAACCATAGCTTGCTAATTTGGCAGACATCTTCCTCAAATACTTGAGTCTTAATTGTTACAGTTTACATTTCATGGAGAACAAGAAGAAGCAAAGTACTGAAAATCATTCCATCTGTGTAAAGAAAATTTCATCTCCTTTGGAAAGGATGAATGCTTTCTGCTAAGATTCTGGCTGAGGACAGCATCAGCTGTATCCAACATCCATTCCTGTCGCACATGCCACGTATTGCCCTGGGAAGCCACTCAGTCTCTTTTCTCCTCAATCCCTCATCTGTAAAATGGGCTCAAACTTCTCTGCCACACGATTAGGAGACTGGAAGCACGGAGAGTGTTTAGGACTGCAGTTACCAAAGCTGGCAACTTCAGGCAGTGAAAGCACCACTTTCAGTATAACTTTATACACACTTCTTCCAGATAAACAGGCTTGGACCTGCATAATTAATAACCTCCTGTGCCCTTTTTGCATAATCATTACTGTACAATGAAAAACAGGGCAGACAATCACAGCAACAGTTAAGGCCATTTTAATCTCTGAGTGCTTAAAATACATCTGTATCGTTGCTATGGCCATGATAGTAATAAATCAAGATAATTTGATCGCTGTGGGTTAAAAAAAAAATAACAACCACTTTTAAAAGCATTTTAAAAATAGCTGCTTCAGAGTTTGGTGGTAGGAAAGTTGGTAAAGATGAAACTGCTTACAAAAATTCAGTTTCAGCAATGACGTACTCTGTGGTAAGATGAACTTTATAAAAAAAAAAAATCAAAACCTTCAAATGCCATTTCTGGGTGCATCCTGGCACTTTTAGATATTAACATGGTATTTCCCACATGCAGAAGGTTGCTTTGGGAAAGGGGAGGCAAGGGAAAGGAAGAATGCTGGGTTTTGTTTGTTTTTCTAAAGATGACTTTTCTTAAATTATTTAAAATCAAAGAATATCAGTGTGATTGCAAAATAGTCTCCCAGCTCCAGAAAAAAAAAAACCCTCCACAGCAGCTACCTTCATATGAGAATCCCAAGTACACCCAGTAATAGTTGAATTTGCAATGCATTTTCCCTGAAGTCAGTCAACAGGAATTACTTTGACACATGTGTCAGATCATATCTTTATACACACATTGTTACCATGCCACAAATAACCAGATGATCTCCACTCATATATTTAAGGTTTCTTCTCTCTCACAGATGTCAGCGTAGCAGTCAGATACACAACTGTAAAGGTTTTACCCATCCAAAGCAAGACACAGATTTTGCCTTTTACCCAGAGAAATCTATTCATTAGAAATCTGGCTGACCACACTCAATTTCATTAATGCTCTTTTTTATTCCCTTCTTCTCTGCAAATAAACAGTACAAATAAAAGTAGCTAAAAAAGACATGGTGGGGAGGAGAGGAACATCCTTATGTTTTGTGTATCTCTGAGACTGACTCATAAGGAACAAACAACTAGCCTCTCCCTCAATATATTTTTTAAATGTGGAAATGTAAACTTCTGTAGCAAATCACAAAAACTTTCAGTCACCACTGTGATCTATTTATTTCTGCTAATTGATGGCCTCCTTTTGTTACTGACAACTGGTATTACCTAGATTAACAGTTTTTAAAAGAAATGAAGTGCAGTTTATAAACAATACTGATGTGCCTTTGGAGACATTTCACATTTAAACCAGCAATAACATCTTAATTCTTCAAAATGTCAAGAGGATTAACAAAAAGCATTCAAACGTGTTTGAACTTTCTTTACTTAAAACACTTTCTCCTGCAGCCAATTACATATAATGGGAAGTTCTATTCACTTCAACCTCTAAAAATTTGGCTTGTGATCCTGTAGATATTTAAGAATGCCCAAAAATGTGACCTGAGCCTATTAAGACTTCCCAAAGTATAATGCATGCAAAACATATAAACCCCATCAGTGGATGGATGGGTTGTCAAGATCATTCAAAATTAAATGTAACACTTATTTTAAATAAACAACTCTTAGTTCTATCAGCCAGGTTTGCAGAAATGCTTCCCATATAGTGTTGAAAATCTGGGCTATTACCTCAAATACCACCATTGTGCTTCTAGGGCTGCTTGTCTTCTGCTGAACCAAATGCTTCACCTGGTGTTGAGCTGCTCTGGTGGAGCTGGAAGTGCAGCACGCCTCCCTGTGCTCCGGGCAGCCAGGCCAGCCTGCTTCCCAGAGTAACCACAGCACCTGATCTGGCTCTGTGCACCCACATAGCACTGCTCTCAAATTAAACCTTCCTGGAGCACTGGGAATCCGGCTAATGGGCCACGCAAGTGGCTCTGGAGAAGGCAGCCTGACATATACTGTGGTTCAGCACAGTGATAGCTGGGTCAGCTAAGAACAGTTTATTCACATCCCATCATCCCCTTACTCAAAAGGATTGCTCTTCCTTTGCCAGGCATATTTTAGCGCTCCTGCCGTAAATAAGGGAGATCTGGCTGAAGAATCAAGGGAAAATGAACTTTTCAATTTGGAAATAGCATCTAAAGACTCAACTCCTCTGCCTTTTTTCTAAACGATGGTCACTGGGTCCTCCAGGGCCATGTCCTCTCCTCCAGGACAACCCTGGGGTAGGGGACAGCAGAGATTATTTTGGGAAATGAGTTTACATTTGCTACTTGAATCAGCATGCTATCCATAGAGACTGGGAATTACCAGTCAATCTTCCCCTCAGGAAGGCAGAAACAGGTCAGACATTTAGGAAAAACACCTAAACTAAAACCTAAACCTGAAACTTAAATAGGAACTTGGGCACTTCCCATTTGTGCATCCAGCCCCGCTAACAGAAATTTATCAGATGGCTGGTCTAGCTCTCATCGTACACCTTCAAAAATTCTGCAAGCTCCAGGCTGCTTTAACTGAATGCTGAGCAATTGTCAACTTCTTGGGAGAGATTTTTTTTTGGGTCATTATGGTAAAATAAACACTGTCCCCTTCTTCCCCCATGCCCTCCTCACCTCCAAACCCCAGCTGAAACAGTCACATTTTCATTTATCTCCTGCAGAGACCTAAATGTCTTCTCACAACTGGAATTTTAATGATGACAACAACATTGTCATTAAAATGATAGGGAGGTAAATAGAAATTGTGTATTTGCTTTGAGGAAAAAAAGGCAAAAAACAGAGGTTCCACAAAAATGAAAACTTTCCAGAAAATTCAAACATTTAATGTTGTTTAATCCACTTGATGCCCTGCTGCATGGGAACCAGAGTTCACACACTTATGCTCCCATTTTCTCACCCAAGATGGATCTGTGCACTGAAGTGCATCTCTCAGGACCTAAGATAGTCTCCCCATCTCAGAGAAGAGAATGTGAATGTAATTACTAAACCAGACTCTAGGAAGGCACCATGACAGCACAGCCAAATCAATATGTTACTGTTTTGTATAAGCTCCGTAGCTTAATGAAAAACAGTTCCCAAAGCCAGAAGCCACTTCTCACAAAATGAGTCATTTAGGCAATCTCTGTGTTTTCTGTTGAAAAATACTTTCATCAGAAACTTTCAATGAGCCCCACGCTTCTGTATTTCTGGGATGTGTCTTACTGTGGAGCCAGAACAGAGGCAGTAGCCAGCAGCTCTTCCCCAAAGGCGAACGAGCTCTGCTTGGCCCTCACCAATGCATTCCTCAGTCTTGGCTTTTATCACAGCTGCCTCTGCTCGTGGAGAAACTCCAGCATGCTGCTTTCTCAAAATGCCAAACCAAACTTCTGGGAGAGGAAAAGAGCAAACTCTGCTTCTCCCCTCACAGTCTCTCCTGCCACTTC